CTAGGCATGCTTTAGAGCTAAATCTAGTTATATTTTTTCTAGTTATATTTTGGTATAGAAGGCAATAAATTCAACCTACGTCGAATAGAGAAATTGGATCGCAGAGAAGTGATAGATAACAAACGACTGGGGATGAATCAAATAATCAGACTGTATTCAGGGAAAAGTAGAAGAGCAAGATGGGTCCATCCACTGACCCTCGGCGCATGGACTGGTGTGGACGTAAAAATTACAAAATCTTAGTAGATGGAAAAACTGCTGATGTATAAACTGAGAACCAGCCTGTGAATTGACAACTGCTCCAGGTTTTCCACGTATATTTCTCTATTTAGCTTTCTACGGACCAAAGAAAAAACGCTCACCACTTTACTCAATTCTTTTCGTTATCCGTGCTAAGATAAAATGATACTTAGTTGATATCTTCCACATTAGCTAATCTGTTGCTGGTCGAAGGAAGATTAATTAAAGAAAGAAGGTTTAGGAAAAAATCTGCCTAAGTTCCTGATGTGAATATGAGAACTGTCCACTAAGAAATGGCGATTTAAACTTTCACTAAAACAGCTCAATTAAATCAGCAAGTACATTTCGTACTTTTAATATTTCAAAGAAAATACTTGGACATACTGGTCAGCAATTTATTCTACGGTAAATATGCCAGTGAATATTTATCACCGAATAAACTATTGATTACGTCCGGCTATTTTTTGGAATATTTAGTGGTGAATATTTAAAAACCTCGAAATACTAGTTGTTTTGAAAAAAATAACTAAACAATTTTTATGCTCATAAGTGAAGAATTTAGTGTTAAAACCAATTGGGTGAAGTTTATGTGGAAAAGATTCATCGTAAATTTTTATGCAGGATCCGTTAATTCAAAAGATTTTCTGTACATAAAATTAATGATAGCTACTTATAAGTGAGCAGGTTTTTTGGAGGAAGATTTTGGGAAGTAAAAGTGAAACGAAAGCAAAAAGAGATTTTTGCTGAATTCCAAAAAATCAACGAAGTACGGATTTTGGTGAACCATATCATCCGTATATTTCAAATCTGTTAGCCTGAATAGACTGGATGTTTGTCTGCAAAAAATGCAGCAGTGAAACTGTGTAAAATGTCGAAAATATGATTGCAATTTTAAAGCGTAACGTAGTCTACAAAAAGTGGAGCACGAACATTATAAATTGCGACGAAATGATTTTGGTTGATGGTGACAATTTCAGCTGGCCGAACGACACGTGCCGAGCACGAATGTCGTGAAACTGAAAGCTCACCAAATAGTGCAATCGGTTGGAGACTTTCGATTATACGCTCGGCCTGCAAATATCCAAATCTCATTTTTACAATATATACACACATTTAGTCCTTATCTATATATTGATATTTCTGGTCCACATGTATATAAGTCAATTTTATATATTTATATTTATGTACACATATATTTATATACATATATATGTAAAGAAATATATGTATATAAAGGCAATATAAAGAAATACATATATAAGAAGTATATGTAA